ACCAACCCTACAGGTCAGATCAAGCCTTGTTGCTTCGAAGCATTTTGTCCTCTTGTGCTGCAATCCCAGGCTGTTGATTGCCGCATTGCCCAGTCCCTAAAGACCCCCTTGCAGAACCTCCCTCCCGTTGCATCCTGTGCCGCCCTTCACTGCCAGGAAGCTGCCTTGGGACCAACTGTGCACTTTAATTTCATATTTGGTTAGTCCAGATCCAAACAGTCAACGTGGTCCATGAAACATTGTTTCAGGGAAATAATCACGGATGTCTTCTTCCCCACCACAGCCCCTACCCAAGGCTGACCCTGATATCTGGCTGTCTCAGATGACCGGCAAGTCTCTCTTTTCCCCGCATAGAAGCTTGACCATTGGGCCAATTTCTCCTCTGCGCCTGGGCTGCCCTCCTACTGCCTGAAACCGCACCAGAGCTCTTCCAGGTTCTCTTCCATGCTCCTTTCACACCACACCATGAAACTAAATTTCATTCAACTTAAAAAGCCTTTTGTCAAGTGGCTGCTGGGAATTTGCTCAGAAGATTCTTGGGGTGCGGGGTAGTTCAGATGGCGGAGGCACAAGCTATTATGCTGTACTCTGATGCTTTCTGGGTTGGACTACAGCTCTCCTAACTCAAAGGTGTAGGGGGATGATCGGATTCGGAAGGCAATGCTTCTTTAGGGGACCAGAATGAGCAAGGCTGATTTAAGCCACTGGCTGCTGCAGGAAGTCGTAAATATGAGTGAACCGAATGCCGAACTCATCTCGCTCTTCTTCAGTTATTGGAGCAAAAATTTTAAAAGGCACAGGAGATGAGAGATCCTGGTTTGTAGTTCTTGTGCTTGCTCTCTTTTTAAAGATACAGTTAAAGAAATAAACCAGTCTGTATGCAAGCTACCTTCATTCTCTGACCTTGGCTTGCAAACTGGGTTGTTATCATCATTCTGAAATTCCAGCTGTGACTTTCAGAGAGCTACTTGGTGACTTCATACCACAAATACAATTTGGACAGGGCTTGGACTGCTTTCCAGTGAATAAGGAGGGCACTCTCTCTGTGCTCACAGGCAATTTGGTCTTCTGCAAAGACTGCTACTCACTGGGGGCAGGCAACAGGCATCTTGCATATCTGACTTTGGAGGCACCAAAATTTATTTGATGACAGGAAGAGAAGCTGACAATCTTGTTTACAGTACATTGCCCAACACACACAAAGGAAAATGCCTTTCTTTTGCAGAAGCGATTTCTGCATCTTTGCTTTAGAAACTCTCTTTTAACTATCAGATTCTCTTCCAGGGCTTCTGCAGGATTCCTTCCCTTTGTGGATCTTGTTAGCAATTGTGCCCTCTCGCCAACTTTATCTTAACCCATTGGACAAATCTGGACGGTGTGGTTAGTTTTATAGTTCAGTGTGTTGAGCAAACACAGAATATTGGGTGGAGTAAATAGTAGGTAAATGTATTGTATGGACATTGGTATTCTTCTTCTGTTTTTCCCTTGGGATGTTTGCTGTGAGAGGACTAGTTTTGGTCTGGTCCCCTGCTTGCAAAAAGCTGTGCTTTTTACACCAAACGGGAGAGATTTTCATGAGAAAATTGTTCCTGCAAATGTCCAGCCCCCTCAGGGGGGACCGAGAAGTGTTTTCCAGAAGCTGTAAAGTTTAGGCTGAGCTAGAGCTCTAGCCGCGGAGTGGAACTTCCTTGTTCGGAGGCCCTGTATCTTTGAATTCAACATAGAAAAAGCCTGTGTGATAATGGAGACAAGATGGGAAAATCCACAAACTCACTGAGACTTTGGACCTGTGTCAGTCCAACCCACCTCACAGGGCTCTAGTTGTGGGGATAAAATGAAGGGAGACACCCACAGAAATTGCTTTGAGTTCCTGAAGAAAAGGTGGGGTGTAAATGTAAGTAAAAAATACAGGGATCAATATTGTTGGGGGCACAGCAACATACCCAGATGGTGAGAAAGAGGAGTGGGCTTACTGCACCAGCTGTTTAGAGCACAGGTAGCCTGGAGGTTAGAGTGTCATGGTGTCCAGGACAGAAAGGATCAAGAAAAACACCCCCTCAACCATGAATGCAGTGCATCCTAAATCATGGGATGCTCTCATGCAAAACCCTGTGAGAGAGGGGAAGTTGTGCAAGGGAATTCTCTTCACATTTGCATTGCAGACTCTTGGACAGTAAACGGATCAATATTTGGTTGATCTGAAAAAAAAGAAGTGGACCCTGAACATGCAGGAAAAACGCTAGGAAGAAAAAAACCTTTTGGACAGTAAAGTTGGTTGCAGGTTTTATGGATGAATAACCCGTCAATCTCCTAGGTGCCACTTTGGGCAAGTTGCAAGAAGTTATTCATTAACAGTGCCAGCATTTGCCCACAGTCCTTCCGCAGGTGTGAGGAGCAGCAATAGAAACAGTGGCTGAGGTATTCTCTCTGGCCAGACTTCAGCGATCACATCCCAAAGCTACCCTTAGTCTCCTCTGTCCTCAGCAGACCCTGTAGAAAATATAATCTTCAGCAAGTTATTTTTGCGGGATTGGGTAGGGCTCGGGTTGCTGCGTGGTTTGGAAAATTTCACACGTGCCAGTTCACCCCTCCTTTGCGCAAGTGCTTGTGTGTGTTTTGAGATAAGCACCAAGAAAAGGTGGCAAGTGGAGATTGCTGAGCAGATCCTGCAGGGGCGTCTCCTGCTTGCACCCCAAAGGTATGATGTGTGTTTCAGTGGGGAGGAGGGATGGCGAGGGAGACCAGGTCAAAGGCTACTCATTGCTGTAGGGTGGAAGAACAGAATATTCAAAGCTGTCAAGAGTTTCTCTCCACTTCATCTTATTTATACTAAACCAACTCAAGGTAAGGTGATTTTCTCACACTTCCTTCTTTCTCAAGAATTAGTAAGGTTTTCCAAAACAGTTTGATCATTCCTTCCCCATTTCCAACGCAGGTCTAAATTTTTTCACAGGATGCTGGATGAGGAGAGAGCTGGGGTGATGCTGAAATTCAGTGCCTGAGTTGGGAGCTATCATTCTGAAGATCTCCTTCACCCCCAGATGTGGACTGCACTGCTCATCTCTCTCTGCCAAGGGCATTATGAGCAGTGATCTTCTCTCCCCTGCAGCACTTTGAAAGATTTTAAAAGTCCTCCCTTTTAAAATCCAGTTCTGCAAAGGGCTGGGTAGATCCTACCTGAGTTCCAGATCCAGCATCCAACCTGGATTTTGGAGTTTGTACAAACCAAAAGGATAATATAGTACATTTCCAGGAGGAAATAAAGGAGAAATAAAGGAGAAAGGAAAATTCTTCGTCATTTGTTTGCATATGTAGTCCACCTAGTCCAAACAATATGATAACCCGCAGTTGGAAGAGGCCACTGGGCCTTTGAATCCAACCTTGTCTCCACTTGAAACGCCCAGCAAAGGGGAGTGGAACACCCTCTCTGGATCAGTGGTTGCTGAATTGCTTTGACTGCGTGGAAATTGCCCAGCGTTGAACTAGCTTCTGCTTTCATGAAGTTTAAATGCATTATTTTGTGGCTGACATTCTGGAATGATGAGGTCTTGACTATCTACTGCATAGTGCATACTCCATCTACTACCTCCTTTTGAAGAATGGTATTATAGTCTTCTCCTTCTCAAGGCTAACCATTCCTCATTCCTTCCATCTTGCTTCATAGATTTGATTTTAGTCCCTGGATCATCCTCATTGCCCTTTTCAAAATTTGTCCTAATTTCTCTGTCTCTTTAAAATGTGATACCCAGAAGTCAACTACAGTAGTACCTGAGATGAGGCCTGACTACAGCAGAATAAAATGGAAGTGTTACTTTTCATGATGTTTCTGCTTCTTTTCATGCAACCTACAATTGCATTAACTTTTTTTGCAGCCATCATAATATGACTCAGTATTCTAGTTGCAACCAATTACGGTCTTTTTCACAAGTACTTTTACCAAGCCGGGTACCTATACCTCTAGATTTGAGTTTTGTTCTCTAAGTGAAGAACTTCATTAAATTTTATCCTGTAGTTTTCAGTTCAGTTCATTTTGAATTTTATTTCTATCTTCTTGGGTATTAGTTATCCTACCCAATTCTGTGTGATCTGCAGATTTGATAAGCATTCTTTCCAAATCATTAATGAAAATGCTGAAGAGTACAATACCCAGGATAGTACAGTACCCAGTATTGTGGCACACCACTCACTGTCTCTCTCCAGTTTGGTGGGGGACCACTGACGAGCACCCTAAAGGGTGGTCTTTGAGACAGCCACGCACCCAGGCAACTGTTACTTGATCAGCATGTCATGAGGTACTTTCTCAAATGCTTTGAGAAATAATCCTACACATGTTGGAGTATTAATTATTATTATTAATTACATTTATTAATTTCTATTTTATTGATTATTAATGATGTAATATGATTATTAATCATCCTAGATAATTAATACTCTTGCTACAGTTGTGCATGATATGTATCTAACTAAAGTTCAGTCTAGCAAAACTCATCCATGTTGACTTCTGGTAATCAACTGCATCCTTTTCAAGGTGCTTGCAAAAACACTCTCTTTGTGATCTGCTCTAGAAGCTGCCTAAGTATCAAGATTGGACTGTCTGGCTCTAACTGATTGGAGCTTCCTTCCCCCTTTTTGAAGATAAGAAAAACATGTTGCTATCATCTAGCACTCGTTTTTTTTGAGGAAAATATTTAAAAGCGCAGCCAGGCTATCATCTACTTCCTTCAGTGCCCTGGCATGCAATTCATTTGAGTTATTTAAACTCATTAAAGGCAAAGAGCTGTTCTGTGACTAAGTTTCTGTCAAGCTCAAGCTTCCATTCTTCGCCTACATCCTGCTATGGCTGCTAGAATACATACCCTCTAGACACCGCTTGATGGCAGCAGAATTAAGATATTGCCGACCCTAATTTAGAAAACAGTCCAGAAATTATAATAAATAAATACTACAGTATTTATTAAATAGTATGTTTTTATTTATTTATTTGATAAAAGAGAATTCAAGTGCCTCCTTTATCTGGAACCTTAAGGGCCATCCTTAATATCAAGAAATCCTACCGTAGTCCCAAGAGCAGAAAATTCCCACTGGGGGAATATTTTTGGCAAGTAGTCCACAGAAGTGAACCTCACGTTCCTTCTTCAGGCACCAAAAGGCCCTCTGTTTGTCTCAGGTTGCTGGGAAATACTTCAGCATACAAACCCTGCCCACTCCAAGGCAGCAGGTGTAGGAAAACATCCTGGTGGATTATGCTCCTTGTTAAACAATTACAGTCAAAATGAGTGAGGCGACTTCTGCCTCAGCCACTGCTAGTTTTGGTTGCCAGCTCTAACACTGGCAGCCTCTTGCCCAGAGCAGAATAATAGTTGGGCAACATTTTGGGTGTGGCCTGGACCTGCCCTACCTTTAAAACACTTTGCCCTGCCTTGGGCTTGCCCAGCTACCTTGGGGTTCAGAGTGAGTAACTCTTGGGGTTATCTTCCTTCCTGGAGCAGCAGTGCTGACATGTCTTGGCTGGGTCTGCAAGGCGCTTCAGGGAATAAGAAAGAACAGATCTGAACGCAGACGCTGAAGGAAGTTTAGCTCAAGCTGCCATCTTGGGCGCCAACATTCGGAAGCTCTCCTCCCAGCTAACGCTTGATCGGCTGCACCATGCTCAGCTGGAAACTCCCCAGACTTCTCAACATTAATCAAGTTCCCCAAGTAAGTAAACAATCGTTTTCAGTGTGCCTCTCATTCACTCAAACATTAGCTCTTGTTGATCAGATGGCATATCTGAACTGGGTCTGCTCCACGCAGCTCGCCTCTGGCTCCCTGAAACAGTCAGCCAGGTAGGCGAGGCTTGCAAGAGGCTACTAGCCCAGCACCACAGAGCAGGTGGTGTCCTGGGGCTGGACCTGGGTGGTCATTCTGTAGGTCAGGCCTGGGACGCTCAATGGACGAGCAGCAGCAGCAGCAGCAGCAGCACCTGGAAATATGCTTTTGGACCAGAACAGACAACCCTGAGGCAGAAGAGTTTCTTTATGTGTACAGCACAGGGTGGCCTGTGTAAAATATTGACTTAAGTTAAACAGTAACTCTTGAAAACCAATGGGAAAGCGTTTCTTCTCCCTGGGACGCTCCAAAGTTGCTACAGCCCACTCAAAAAACGTCCAGTCCTGTCCAAGCTGGTTCACTTCTGTGCTGCTTGTTTGAGTTCCACGATGCCGGCTGGCAGAATTGCTGCCAACGCTGGCTGGTATTTTCCTTCCCAGCCCTGCATGAATGATACCCTTTTACTTCCCTGTTTCAAGCCCTAAGTTGTTGGTAGGACTACACTCACCTGTGGCAGAACTGATGACACAAGGAAATAAAATGACTTATTACCTATTTTCAGTTTTTCAAACAGCTACACTAACTTCTGGGTAGGAAATACGCATTTCAAATGTGTATGCAGATTTTTCATTCCCAGATCCTGTCAAGGGTGTGTGTGCGCGCGTGTATATCCGTGCACATGCATGTGTGGTTGTGTGTGTGTGTGTGAACATTTGTTGTCATTTCTTGGGAATTGTGGTGGTGGAGACATCTAGTGGACATTGTCCGGAGTTGGCACAGCCTGCTTCCCATTAAGTGTGCTCCTTCCAGATGGAGTTTAGAACATCTGAACATTTTTGTTCTTCTGAGCAAAAAGGTCAGGGCCTGGGATTTATTTCTGGTGGAAAATTAAAGAAATTTATGTTTTTATTTTAAGACAAATCTAGCTGGAAAACATGAGTGACAATTGATTTTTTTTTAAAAGAAAAGTCTTAAAAAGGCACCAACTGAAAAAGTCATGAAGTTTATGGTATTGTAATAGATTCCTTTCTCATACTTCTCTAGATATATTAAATTATAACGTTTGAATATGAAATAGCAGTTATATCAATGGAAATTTTCATAAAAATAAAGGATATTATTTTTGCATGCTTTCAGATAAGGTTTTAATTTCTTATTCTTTCTCAAGCATAAAAATATTTGGAGCTCAAAATAACATTATCCTCTTCAAATTCTTCCAGTGCTTTCCGTTTTTTTCCTTAGTACAAAACCTCTCTTAAAGAGGGAAAGACAGAATAAGTGCACGGTATTTATTTATTGGTGACTTCAGAAAGTCTCTGCATGGAAGTCCCTTTTCTGCAGGCTATTAAAAAAGCAAAGGAGCCAAAAATGCAGGAAGACAGTTTTTGGAGCGTAGCACAGTGTGAATAAGGAGAGCCAGTTTGGTGAACTCTAGTACTTAAGGCACCAGGCTAGAAACCAGGAGTTCGAGTCCTGCCTGAGGCAAAACGCCGGCTGGGTGACCTTGGGCCAGTCGCTGTCTCTCAGCCGTAGGAAGGAGGAATGGCAAGCTATTTCCGAAAAGCCTGCTAAGAAAACTGCAGGGACTAGTCCAGGCAGGCTCCAGGAGTTAAAAACTGACTCAAAGGCGCGCGCACACACACACAATTGTGAATAATCCATAAAAAGGGAATGAATGAAATAATGCCATAATAATTCTAGCATGAAACCGTTCAGCTTATTTTCCTTGTAGATACAGTAGTTATAGTTTTGTTAATTGAATTTTTGTTAACTGAAGTTTTTTAACTGAATTTTTCAAAGTCCTGTTCATAAAGGAACTATAATAGCACTTTTGTTACTGTTAGTTTTCCAGAGACTAATAGATTATAATATAAAGGTCCACAAAGTGTGGCCAGTGGGGACATTTGGTGTGTGTGTGTGTGTGTGAAAAGTGGCTGTGCCCTTCCCCTTTTTTACGCACTTACAGGCGTGATTACATAGGCACAGACACCATCTTGACTTTTTTTACCTCAGTTTTTGTGGTTCCCAGAATGGACGAAACCAAAACATTTTGCATATTGTGTGTATTTATGTGTTTTGGGGTGCTGGGGAATTTGGAAAGGCAAAAAATAAAAAATAAACCCCAAACCATACAGAGATTTAACACACCCATTTCACTCCTTAACTCCCACACCATCTCACTCGGTCCGCTTTGGATCCTGGCCCCGCCCAGCTTTGGGATGCAGCCCCTGAGCCAACAGAGGTTGTAGACCCCCAGGACAAACTGTGGATGGCTTAAACAACCAGGCCCTAGCCACAGATTTATGTATGCAGCGTTTCCTCATTTTGCTTCTTTATTCAGAAGAATCTGAATAAAATCTTTATTATTTACCGAAAGCTGGAAGAGCATGAGAAAACGTCCCTAAGAAACCCAGGAGGATCTCTGCATAGTCAGCCCACGAACTGTCGTGAGAGGGTACGACGCCCTTAAAGCCTTGGAGGCACCCTCTTCAGCTCATGTATGCCATGAGCTGCTGTTGCTGCCGAGATTATGCCCCAATAAAGGTAGCTTAATCTTGAAGGTGCTGCCATTCTCCATGCCTGCCCCTGGAGCGTCCTGGTTCTTCTTTTGCAGGTTTTCCGAGAAGAGGGCATTCTTTGTGGTTACCGTCACCCCAAAAGTTCTGCGGCAGACTGCATCTTCAGTATCTTCCAGATGACAAATGAAACTATGAACATCTGGACACATTTTCTACCCGCTTGGTCTGTGAATTACGCATGCATTTGTCCCATAACAAAAATATGTTCTTCTTGATGGTTGCCTCAGGCCGTGGGGATGAGTTATTGTTAGGCTAAAGCCCAGGACTGTACTCTGGGTACTTTTAAGAGGAATGGGATGATTTGGGTTGTCCAAAGAGAGAAAATCTTCTCACTCTGTTGTTCAGTTTAGCCCCACTACACGGCACTGAAGCGTGACCCTCTCATCATCTGGCTCTCTGTGACTTCATGCAAGTGAGAGAAGAGTTTCTCTACCCCGTTTCTAAAGAGAAAGGGTGAAATGGAAGCATGGAAAGCTCATAAGGGGTTGGAGGGGCAGCCTTGCTGAAGCTGGGTGCTCTTTTCATTTCGTTTCAAAGCACCACTGGGCGCTCTTTGGCAGAAGTGGCTCAGGGGAAGCCACGAAAAACGCTAAGGATCATCAGCCACTGAGGGGGAACTTGTCTTTCATCACTGCTGCTGTGGTCTTTGGCTGGGGAAGATGACTGCAGCCTTCTCTTGCCCGTAACGGGCGGGCCAGTGAAGCCCCCTTGATGCAGGCTGCGCTCCACCGAGCCCCTCATCTGAGCCCTGGCCAAGGAGCTGCAGGAAGCCAGCAGCTGGCCCTGCAAGGGCTGCCCCGTGGCTGCCCCCCACTGTGGCTGAGCGGCTCTTCTGCTTGCAGGTACTTCCTCTGGAAGCTTCTGGCTTCACTCCATGCCTGGGATGTCTGGAGAGACCACCATACGTGGCCCTTTCTTGCCTACCTGGGGACCTGTTGCGTTTATCTGCTGATATCCAGCGGCGCTCACACCTTCAGCCCCATGTCCAGCCGGGCGAGGCACCTTTGCTATTTCTTCGATTACGGGGCACTTGCGCTGTACGGTTTCGGTGAGGAGGCGAGCGAGATGCAGCTCCCTTTCCTTAAGGCGTTTCAGGTCTTTTCCCAACGCTTCCACGGGTGCTTGCTGTCTCTAGGGAAATTTAACTAAATTTTAACTAAAGTGCGCTAAGCCATCATGTTTATGGCTTAGCATGTTACATGAACCATTCACTGGTGTTTGTAAATCAGAGTTTGTGCCTTAGTGCATTCTGGGAATCTAGCCGAAGTAGATTTTAGCAAAACTTGGGTTTACTAAAATCAGGTTTAGTATGTATGAACTCAGCCTTCCTTTCCCCACAGAGGGCAATACAATTGCAACTGCAGGTGCTTGGACGGTATATTCTTTTTTCCCCTCATTCCTGTGCTTATTTGGAAGACCACGCAGTTTTAAAATCAATTTTACCTTTTTTTGAAGGTAAATTAAGGAGACACCCAGCCCCCATAGCCCGTAAAATGTGAAAGAGGCAGAAACTGTCAATCACTAACAGGCTATTCACTTTCACGCATTAGTGGGTGTCACAACTCACAACTCTTCCCGCTCCGCGAGAGGAGTCCTCTTAAAAGCAGCTTTGGTCACTTTTAAAAGGGTTATGATCTGCTTTTTCATCCTGGCGAGTGACTTGGAAACCATGAAGTGGGAGCCCTTCCCTTCCCGTCATGCGCTTCGGGCTCCCCTGGCATTTGTCTCCTTCTCGCTATAACTTCTTCTGCCACAGAAGCTTATGTGGGCATCCCCTGCCCCCTTTGGCAGCGCAAGCACCCTGCCTGGGACAGCGGGCACGGGCAGCGGCCCTGGGGAAGCTGGGACCCGCTTGACGGTCACCTCTCGGCTGCAGCCCTCTTGGTGGTGTGGCCTGGGCGTTTTTCGGTCCTGCGCCGGAGGGAGAAAAAACCTCCCTAGGTGAGACCCCAGCCTGCCCGAAAGAACGGAGTGTTGCTTTGTCTCCAGGCTCTGCCGTGGCTTATTCCGCCTACGTGTTCCCAGAAGAGTGGTCCGGCAGCCCCTTCCATCGCGCCTTCGTTCCCGCGGCTGTGCTTAACGCAGGGATCGCCACCAGCCTCTCCTGCTTCTCCAGGTACTGCCGGATCTGGTTCATGATGGCACCCGGGAATTCCCTGCCGTGGCTGGAGAGAACGAACCGGCTCAAGGCAGAAGGGGGAGGGCAGCTCGCCTCCGCTCCAGCGCCCGGCCAGCTGGGCCGAGTGGCAAAGTCCTGGGCCCACTGGGGGCGGGGGGGGCTGTGGGCCCTCCCGCGCTCAGCCCAGCCCACCTCGCAGGGCGGTGGTTATGGTGGGGAAAACAGCAGGAGGAAGGAGGACTAGGTTTGCTCGCCGCCTTGCGTTGTTTATAAAAATAAGAAAGGCGGGATAAAGAAAATCTAAAAAACAAAAATAGTACCTCTTGTATCTTTGGGGGTGGGCTGCATGCCCTTTTTTTTTTTTTTTTAAGTTATTGCAATTTTTAAAAGGAAACACAGAAAAAACAATATACAATGTCTAATTAAAAGAACAATAACATAGGACAAATTAGTTATGAAATTGTATTACAACAAACAAAAATTACACCAAGAAAAAAACCTAAACATTAACATACTAAATTAAGATAAATGATCTAAATATATCAGGAGAGCTAGTTTGTAGTAGTTAAAAGGCACCAGGCTAGAAATCAGGAGACTAACTTCTCTCAGCCCTTGGAAGAAGGCAAGGGCAAGCCACTTCCAAAAATCTTGCTAAGGAAACTCCATGGACCTGTCCAGGCGGTCACCACAAGTCAACACTGACTCAAAGTTACCAAAAAAAAGAAAAAGAAAAATCACATAATCATTAAAACATGTATTAACAATTTATCCCAGGGTCACTGGGAGTCAGGTGGTATAAAAAATTAATTAATAAATAAATAACAAATTGTGCACAGAATCTCATTTATTCAACTAAAATATATGAAATCCTATGAAATCTAGGCCAATCTATGCTAAAAAAAACCCTATCGTTATTGGTTAGAAAGGAAGCAAAATCACACATTTTTGCATGAAATTAGACATACTGTATATCTCATCAATTCTGAGTAAATACACAATAGATCACACATTTGGTTTTGTCACTAACTTGGCTGTTTTCTGTGTTTCATTTCAGCTATTATAAGACATATAGGGATAAGATGACTAAACTGGATTCATACTTCAGAATAAACTATAAGCCACGGATTATAAATTCAGAACCAAACCAATCACCTTATAGCAGTGTTGTCCAAACTTGGCCACTTTAAGATGAGTGGACTTCAACTCCCAGAATTCCCCAG